TGTCTCTGTCTGCCCTGTCCAGGGCACCCCCGCCCCTTTCAGGGCTCGGGGTGCGGCCTGGTGGGGGCGGGCTACGGCTCTGGGGGGCCCCCGATTCCGGCACCCTCTCAAGGACCCTGCCGCTGGGGTCTGGTTGGTCTGGGGGGGCCAGGCCGTCCGCAGGGGATCCTGGGCAGGGCCGCCCTTCGGCCGTGTGGGGGGGCCCCAAGGGCCTTGGCAGTGGGGCCCCCCTGTCCTCTTGTGGACTCAGGTTGAGCTTGCCCCAGGGGGCCCAACGCCCCAACCTTGCAGTGTCCCTGAAGGGGGCCGCTGTACGGCCCCTACCCTGGCCATATCCGCTCTGGGGACTGTCCCGTGTGAGGGGCCCCCCGCTGGCCCTGGCCTCCTGGCCCCACTGGCCCTGCAGCCCAGGGGCCCCCTCTTCTGGGGTGCCTGGCTGGGCCCCCCTGGGGTTTTCCTGCGACCCCTGCTGCCACGGGGGGCTGGGTGTGGCCGTGGACAAGGCGCCCCAGCCGTCCCCGGAGGTGTCTGGACCCCCCCGCTGGGGCTGTCCAGTCGCGAGCTGGCCCCCTGTGGCGCCAGGACATCTGGGCATCACGTGGCCGCCGGGCAGCGTGACGGTCACCCCGGGGGGTTCGAGGGCGGGCTGCGTGGCCTGGGCTGCCCGTGGGCCGGGATGGGGGCTGTGCCCTGGCCTGCTCTGGGCAGGGGGCGCCCTCTGGGTGGGGGACGCGGGGCCCCTCACCACAACCTCCCCCCTGCAAACCGCCTCAGGGACTTCGGGGGCCGCCCCTGCCCCCCCAACCTTGGACTCAGGATGTTGGCTCCCCCCACCTCCCCTCAGCCCTGGGGTGTGCGCTGCATCTCTCCCCACCTGGGAGTCCACAGCCTGGGTGCACCCCTCAACCTCGGTGCCCCCCACAGCCCCAGTATCCTTCACTGCCCTGGTGTTCCCCATCCCCACAATCCCAGTGCTTCCCGCCATCCCGGAGTCCCCGGCAATCCCAGGGCCCTCCACAGTCCTGGTGCTCCCCACTGCCCCTGCCTCCCCCAGCACCCCCGGAGCCCCAGCGCCCCCC